TGGCAATGTAAACAAAATCTCAACCCATATGTATATATATATATGTATATATACATATATATCCATATACATATATAAACAGTGTGATATCCTCGATTTGATCGTATGTGTGTGTTGTGCGTATGCTTGTGCATGGGCGTGTGCGTGTGCGCCTTTAAGTACATTAGATTATTGCATACAAATGTATGATACGTAGATGCATGCATGTTTGTAATACACATACATACATACATATATGGTATAGCATAGAATCAAATTCATTACAGTTTGTTGCCAAAAGCAAACATGCTGGTTGTGTACGTTCCGTTGTGCTATATTGTGTATGCTGTGCAGCGTTGTGTATTATATTGTATTGTTTGCTAATGTTGATGATAACGACAATGTTGATGCCAATCATCAGATACCGCACATATGTAATTACAATATTCTCTTTGTAATAACTACGCAGTCACATGTACGATATTATGCGTAGAAACACGTATGCAAGGATGGACGTATCTATCTACTCATCATCTGTGTAAACATTTAAATATAATTTCAATAACAATTTCAGCAATTATGACAACTTGTCTTTTAAGGTATTGCCTTAGATTAGCTTGAAAATTGATCTTTTCTTTTCCTTTCCTTTCCTTTCCTTTCCTTTTTTTTTTTTTTGTTTTTCAATAACTTGTGAGTTTGTTACATTTACATTACATAAGAGTTTATGCAGAACTAAGTCTTAAATATCTTCATTTTCTTATTCTTGATTCAGTTCACTTTAACAAGCATGCTCGCTCTCCTCTGGCAATTTATGACTTTGGACAAGTTTGCTTTGCTTGATAATTACCTTTTATTATATTTTCTTTTGCTAAATCATAATTTATTTCCATATATTTGGGGCAATCGATTAATAATTCTAGAACGTGCGGTTCATTGATTGTTGAATAACGCTTTACAGTTGCGATTGAAAAATGTCTTCATTAATGCGTAAACTGGGCGAATTATTATCATTCACAGTTTACCTGTTCACCTATCATCGTTCCAGTCACAAAGTCCCAGGGTCGTCTTGATCCCATACTTAACTTTAGTTTATTTTCTTTATATATATATTCCTTTATTATCATTAATTTACTTTTATATGAGATTATTTTATCCCCTTTTGTATAAATATATATGTCGCTTATTATTATTAGCTTCGTAGATGTAGATGCCTATTTTATATTACATATTACTCTATCTCCTTATTCACATCAATTTGTTTACCCTCTTACTCTTTGTAAATATACTTGTGTATATTTTAGTAAATTATCAGATTAATTATAAGTCTACCGGAAGCCAGGGTAGATATAACATCCGAAAAGTTTATCAGCTGGTTTTGAATGCAATTATCAGTCGGTGGGCAACGTCGATCATGACAGATAGGTTAAGACGAAATTTCAAGCGTATTTCCGCTTTCTCTCCAATTGAAGCCGTGGTGCTGGATGGGTGTAAGTTTGGTAAGGCGCAAGTATCCGCGTAAAGAATAAATACAAGAAGCCGTTTAGGGTAGAGACTAATTGAGGACGATAGAACTAAACGATGGAACTGACATTTTAGACTGCAAGACGAACGGTTTAGCTAGGGGCGGTACAAAGTTAAAGGGAGCACTTAGGGAGCTTCACTAATTTGAAGGCCTGAATAAGCGGATGAGCTAACCACAGCCCACTGCAACAACGTAAAGAAAATTCCCACAATAAAGGAATTTTCAACCTTCACTGAAGGAAATTTGGTCATATTGAGAATTCTCCTTGTTTTTTCCGCAGTACGCTGTTGATGCCCATATGTCGGGCAATAGTGAGCTGATGTCTCAAACAAACATGTGCTTAAAACATTTCAGCTTACTTTTTGTGTGAAGATAGTTTTTTAATTCTTTGCTGCTTTACACACAGTTACAATGATTTAAAAATGAATGAAATATCTGAAGAAATCCGCTATGTGATGCTCTTTTACTATACAAAAAGGTAAAAACGCTGCAAATAAAAAAAAAATTTTGAATTGTACGGTGAGAATGGTGTGAGTGAAAGGAGGACAAAGGAGTGGTTTGTTCAATGTCGAAGATACACTTCGCCGCCTCTAAAAAATTCAATGAATTGGTTGTGCAGGACCAGTGCGCAAGCTATCAGGAAATAACGGGGGCGCTAAACATGAATCACATGACAGTTTGAAATCATTTGAAAAAAACAGGCTACAAAAAGAAGCTTAAAACCATGCGGAGACTTGTCAATGTAACCTAATATATAAAAAAATTAATTTTGCTATAAATCTGCCTTTGCTTTACTTGTTTTTTCTTCCATATTCTATCCGCTTTTATTTTACGTTTTACTTCAACTTTTAAAAAATAATTCCTTTATATCACTGCATTTTACTATTATAATAAAAATGTTCAAGGACTGAATGATTTACCGTTGCTTGGCAGAAATATATGATTAGTGATCTGTCAGCAATTGTGTTCAGAATATGAAGGTAAGTGCTTCGTTCATTAAGTTCGTCTTCAATATTACGCTACTTCTCGAACGTTCTTTTCGAAGCTATGCAGTTTTTCCAATGTCTTCTGAAAATAATCAGCGAATTTTACAGTTCCCTGGTAATATGCGTAGTAATTAACCTAAAGTCAACAGCTTTGCATACATATAACCGTGATATTCTCTCTCCCTAAACTTATCTGGCTTAGTTAGGGGGATATTATAAAATTTACACGCGTGCGCTCTACTCTTTGCTTATGAAAAAGATTGAATTGATGGCATATCAACGTATGTTGCTGTGATTAGAAATAAATTCATTCTAGTAACTGAAAATAGTTATCAGATAGACGACACTTTTCAAATTCAACGGAAGGCTAGATATATATATATCTAGCATATAGTTGCATATAAATGTAAGAAAACGAAGGCAAAATATGTTGTTCCGCTGAATCTTTCCTCTGCTAATTCAGTCCAAAAAAACTCTTTGGCGCAAACTTTTAACAGGTTTTTCACACAGGTACGGTACAGTAAGCACGATTCATTGAAGTTACTCTTTCCATTAGCAAAATTTCGAAAGATTTTTTTTAAATTTTTGTCATCCTAATTATTCGTAACTATTGCACAAAACACATCTGGAAAGTGTTTGGATAGTATCTCTTTGCCAATTCTCTAGCTTTTTTTTAAGTCGCTTGAGTCTGTATATATAATAATAGAAATAGCGTTCTTATCTGCAGAAGTGGATGTGACGCATTTGTATAACGCACGAGAGTCGAATGTGTAAACATTGCTTGAAGGGCGAAACAAGGGATCTGCGCCCATCTTTTATCTAGCGAAAGGATAGTTTTTGCAACGCAAATCTCGTACAATCTCTTAACTTTTTTAGAAAACTTTGAATATTGCTTTCAGAATAGATGTAACGCTACCGCTGTTTTTCAGTTTTTTCAGTGGATTCAAGTTGATTTAGTTCTCTCTGAAGATACATCAGAGCTTTTATGTAAGAAAAGCTCGTTACTAAATTGGTGCGAAAACTCTAACCAAGAAGCTATACTCCGTAATCTCTCTCCACAACCATCACGACATACGTCAATTAAAAAACAATATTTTGTCCAAAGCGCAATCAAATTTGTTCTATTGGTGAGTTTTTTCAGTAACCCCACAGTCAAAAACCGATACGATCAAAGCAACCAGTTGAGATGAAAAATTCAAATTGGTTAACAGGAAGGGTCCCGTCCTCCATAACGATAATGCTAGATCAAAAACATCGTTACTGACTCGGCAAAGATTGACAGAGAGATCAACCACATACCTATGCTTTTTGTCAAGGTAAAAACAAATGTGATTGTGAAGTTGTTGGGATTTCGAAACATTAAGAGCATATCCGACCGTGGTTTCATGTCTCCAGAAGATCACCTTAAGGTGTTACATAATAGGAGAAATTATTAACATTTCGTAATCTGCCATCCTTTTCAGCAGCTCAAGGCGCGTTTATATCCGCGGTAAGACCTCTGCTTACTTAAGAATAATTAATAAATGTAGCGTAAAGTTCCAATAGATACAAGTGTTAGGACCTTTTCGACATCGTCCGTTGCGAATAGCCTTGTCTTTATGAAAAATTGCTGTTACAAGAAGAACAACTTGGATCGAATGTGTGCTTGAAATCGGTACTAGTCTAACATGAAAATGGCTATTAATTACTAGGATAGACAGAGGATAACTTTCCTTTAGTTGCAATTTTAATTGGTTTATACTCTAGACGTTTAATTATGAAGTTTTCTTATTTCGTTGTTCATCTAAAATATATGCGACATATGCGGTTAAGTTCTTGGGCCCATCTAATTATTCTCAAGGGATATTTAAAAGTAAATTTCAATGTTTATAAATGTGGTTACACCAGCTAAAAACGGCAAAGGGTAAAGGGGTGAAATTAAAAAAAAAAAACAAATTTTTGTGTTCTAATAACATGTATAACACGTCCGATCGGCGGACTTGTTTTATTCCCGCTTCGACTGCTTCAATTGCTTTTTCTTTTATTACATTAAAAAAAAATACATATTATTTTTAACCTTTGAAACCCATACAAAAACTTTTACTTAAAAATAAAATACCTTTTTCTCTACACGTCGTCGCCGAATGTCGCACCTTAGCAACTTAATGTTTTTCCAAATCAAACCAAAGTTTCAAGCTAACGTACAAAATCGCTTAAAAGGTTGAGACTTACCAACCGCCAGTTTGCATAGAATTATTTTTAAATAATTTTTGCTTTTATTTTTTTTTATTATTATCATTTTTTTTTTTTGCTATAGGGTTTTTGTCTTAAGTGCGAAACACCGCCACCTTATGAAGTGAATGAATAAACGTAAACGTAAGCTCTCTAAGAAAGCTTTCGGAATAACTTTAGCAACAATCGCCAAAAACAGCTGATTGCTGTCATGTGCAAAAACAATTTGCGGCAAGAAATTAAAAAGATTAAAGCTAGACTTGAAACAAGTTAAAGAATTTAAAAAATTTAGTTCAAGGAGACCGAAAGCGAAAGAAAAATTCATATAAATGAATTCATTTACCATAATAGAATCGAAGGATGAATTGGTGACCAAATTGAAAAAAGAAATTGAGAAACGAGCTGAAAACGCTATTCAAGATCATGGCGAATTTCGTGTAGGTCTCTCAGGTAAATTCAATAAAAAATAAATTACTTCAAATTTATCAATCAATCGATCATAAAATTGACAGGAGGCTCGTTGGTGGAATACGTAAGCGACGTTATACGGAGTTCGGTAATAGGATTAACGAATTGGAAGATATTTTTTTGCGATGAAAGATTTGTAGAAGAAAGTGAACGTAATTCGACTTACGGTTGCTATAAACGCGCTTTGTTAGATGGACAAACTATCTTGAATGAAGAGCAATTCATAAAGATTGATACAAAATTAAGTTTGGACGACTGCGCTCGTGACTACGAAACACGTATCTTAAGAGCATTCAATTGTTCTGATGGTCAAATGCCAAAATTTGATTTACTTATACTTGGGATGGGGCCAGATGGTCACACTTGCTCTTTGTTTCCCGAACATATTTTATTGGAAGAAAGACGTCGACTTATAGCTGCTATAGATGACTCTCCGAAGCCACCCTCAGAAAGAATCACAATGACTTTACCTTTAATAAATAATGCTTCGTGTTGTTTATTCGTAATAACTGGCGAAAGCAAAGCAGCAACAATTGAGCAAATTATCCCCAAATCAGCAGATATCCGTTACCCGGTACAATTAGTTAAGCCAGTAAGAGGAGATTTATTATGGATTTTAGATGCTGACGCAGCGAAATTTCTTAAATAAAAAATTATAAATTCTAAGGTAAGTAAATTATTATATTACGAAATATTTATACTAAAATTACTAAAAAACTAAAAATACTTTACAAAATTGAGATAAGATGAAGGCTTTTAAAACTTTTGGCAAGTTATTGCTAAAAATGGGTGGGTTTCATCCTCATTTAGTTAAAAGAAAATTTAGCCAAATATATTTTTCTTTATCCAACCACAGCAGCCAAGTCCTTGATTTGCTATCGACTCATTATCCATTGCTTTGTTGTATTGTTCTCTAAGCAAAGGATCAATAGGTCCCCAATCATGTTTAGGTTTGAAAGCTCCAATAAATTTCTCCCGCCACGTTACGCCAGGATCGCGTATAACGGCCACAATTAGCCATAATGGCAATTGTAAGACGCCTACTGCCGTTATGGTCCATCCTAAAGCTAAAAAATTTATATAAAAAATAAAATAAAATGTGTTTAGAAAATTGTTAATCAAATAAATTTAAAAACTTACCATACGCCCAATTAGGATAGGATACATTATTATAAGTTAACGGAGTATAAGTGGATAGAAAGTAAATTAATATGATGGTCATTATGAGTGGAGTAATAACCGACCAGCACCAACGCCAATATAGACCGACTTTACGACCCATCATAAATTCAGCATCTTTGCAAAGACGATCCACTCCGTATACCCAACCCAAGACATACAATTCAAAGATTCCCAATACCAAGGCAATCATAGAAGCACCAAAATAATCAACCAATGTCAATATGAACTGACCGCCCTGCAAAGTTCGAAGTTAGTTCTCTTAACGTCTTATCAATACATAACATTTCTACAAAAAACTTACCGGTGTTATATATGCCAACCCTATGCAGAAACTGACAACAGCTATACCCAAAGCACATTGCCATTGTTTGACATTAGGAAAATTGTCTCGTATCGCTGTGACCGTACAGGATGTCATGGCTATATTAGAACCAATACCCAATACAAATAGCATTAAAAAGAAGAGAACAGAAAATATTTGGGGTAAATTTTCAAATTTCGCTATAGCATCCGGATAAGAAATAAATGCCAATCCCGCGCCTCCCTTAACCACGCTACCAATGTCATCGGTACCGATTTCATGAGCCAAGTGACCTAGTATACCGAATATGGTGAAACCAGCTAGCAATGAAGTGCAAGTGTCCAAACCGGTCACAATAGTAGCGTCGCGGTGAACGTTGTGTCCAAATTTATTATAAGAAGCATACATGATAATGTTACCAAAACATACCGACAGAGAATAAAAACATTGGGTAACAGCAGCATACCATACCTAAAAACCACAATAAAAAATTAATTAAACGATTTTTACTACACATCAGCTTATTGTACTTGGAAAAAAGTCCGTGTTACTAGGTTATTTTTCATTTGCGAATTTTTTCTTAAACCTCAATTTTGACTCGAAAAAACTCTCTTAAGAAATCTCTTACTATATTTACACATTTGTAACAAGAAAGAAAGTCCTATTTTCCTTATATATGATGAATGTTTAATGCCTACCAACTGATATCAATATCTTCCAAAGTAGTCTGTTAAATATAGCGGTGACAATTGTTCGCTTGGGCCTTTTACCTAACCCTATGTAGTATCTATTATACACACCACTGTAAGATGAAGTTGCACTCATTTGGTTTTTTTCCATTATGTATGTAACACCCAAAAAGAAGCTTCAGAGACCCTACAAAGTATATTTATTCTTGATCAACATGAAATTTTGAATTGATTAAGCCATGTCTGTCTGTCCGTCCGTCTGTGGTGTCTGTTGTTGGCACTGTCCTGACCGCAAAAATGAAGTTATCGACTTCAAATTTGGTAGACCCATTGGAAGTTTCTGCTCGCAGATTGGTATTCAAAATGGGGCAAATTGATCAGAGCAGAAGACCCGCAGTGGAGCGTAAACTGAACGGAAGTTCGTTTTTCTTAAGAAAAATTAGTGAATTTTTGCTAACTTATAAAAGTTAAAAGGCTGACATTTTTACATTACGAAACACTCTACTCTTTACGTGCAGAAATGGGAAAAATCGACCATGCCCACACAAAGTTACAACTAATTAAATTCTGTTCTTTCACTTTTTTGAGGTTTTTTGCTCATTTATCATAAAGCAAAACACACAACATCGAATGTACATTCCTAAAATAAAGATATATTATCTGCTTAAAAATGGTTTAATTCTAAGATGAATATGTTAGACGATACGACCTGGTGGATTAGCTTGTTATTGATATTATCAGCGATGTGGATATCAAATAAAAGGACTTAGAGAGGAGAATGCAAAGAGCGTGGTGGTGGGCATGTGAGATTCGGCACACGCCGTATATAACTTTCCTACTTGTTTTGTTGCATTTCATTTTTAGATTGTTCTCGTCAGTTATGGTTTTGTTTGAGTTTCGGATCATATTAGGTGATAAATAAATTACACATGTTTCTTCTTTTTGTTTGCCTATCGTCCATTTGTGTGCCTGTTTGTTTACTGTTGCCATACTCGCGAACGCGATAGTCGCGAAACAGAAAAGTGAAGTTTGACATTAATAAACTGACATCAATTGACAGCCACGAAAGCATTTTGAGAATAGCAGCGATCTGCGCACAGCCAAGTTCTGTAACTTTCGCCCTACTCTAGATATGAATGTTAGCGTTTGTGTGTATATTTCGGGGGAAAACTCGAATACAAAAATTGCATTATTTGTCTTATGAAAATTCGTACACTATCATTAGAACCATTAATTCGAATCCGCGAATTCAGTTTATGTTGTTCAAGCTGCAATAAGAATACGGCTGTGCTTGATGGAGCAGAGAGAATATTACTCATATATAGATAATCTGAAATCATCGATTATCTGCCGTTTGCCTCCGCAGCATGTTCGTGTGTGATTAATACTTTTTAAAGTAATTAAAAATATTTGAAAATAGAATGTGGTAAACAACAACAGAAATTTTTGAAAAACGAACTTTTTCTGAAGCAGATAGAAATTTTAAGGTGGCACGTTCTACAAGTCGCATCTATCGGAAACGAACTAAGTTGGAAATCTACATTCTTCACGATGTGTAGATCATCTAAAAGTTATGCACTTATGCAACACTTACACTTTCTCTTCTAACGCTATATCACGCCTTTCATACATCGCGTTGTATTTTTGACAGAATTTCAGTGAGGTTAAGGTCGGAAAGCTGACATAGTTATAGAGATTGCATTTTAGACGAAGTTTGGTGAAAGAATTCACTGAAGAAGAAAAAATCATTTTTTTCGATGGTTTTCAAGAGTTGTTGAACAATGCAACAGAGCATTGTGTGTTTATGCATACATCACCCGAAAGGGCTTCAGATGGATCTACACTGTTGTTGTTTCGATCCATTTAGAATCACTTTCTGCCCCGATCTAAGCTTGTCTATCCGCACGCCAGCATTTCTCTGTATCTGTCTCTCTTATATTCTAGTCTTCAATGTGTGGCTATAATTTTTTAAATATTTGGATGAAATTTGCGCGTGTACCGTGATGAAAAGTGTTCGCGACGGACCACATTGTCGACCATCACTTCGCCTTATTTTAAAAAGTCGTTATATCGATAACTGTAAAAGCGAAGAGGTGTAGGTGGGTCAGGGCCCAGTATAATCCTTTTACTCATTTGTATCTTGCATATGAAATTTATAACCTTAAGTCCTCAAAAAAAAGAGGAAAGAAAGAAAAGCTATGCTAATAACCTAACAATTCATATTTTCTAACAGGAACACTTCATGTATATACACTTCATCCACATACCTTGGGATCTAATATTTTGCTCCATTGCGGTTTTATAAAATACAAAATTCCATCCACCGAACCGGGTAAAGTTAAAGCCCGACCTAATAATACCGCCATTATGATGTAAGGAAATATCGCCAAAAAATACGAAGCTTTTCCCGAACTTTTAACTCCACGTATTATTACGCTGAAGACGCACAGCCACGATGCAAATAGTCCAATCACTAATTGCCAGTTGGGGGCACCAATCCCATCATCTATGTTATCTTTCTCTTTTAATATTTCATTGCTATAGAAATAAACAAAAAAAAAAAAAAAAAAAAAGTAAAACAATTTTATTAAAAGTTCCTTAAAAGTATTTTATTTTTTTTTTTTTTTTTAAAAGAACCAAGTGCATCCTTTTCTATTCGAATTTTTTAGTCAAGCTTACATAAAATATAATTCAGAACTTGAAATTGTGCGATTGTCGTCATCAGATCGCATTCGTTGCCATAATTTTGTTAGATTTGCTTGTTCCCTTTTAGTGACCGCTGAGTTTATGCAATTAAAATTCCACGCCTCCTTACAATAAGCCCATGGCAATGGATTGCGAAATGATTGTACCAAATAATTAATTACTAGTGAGCAGATTGCTTCATAATAGGTACCCAATAAGTAAACCATAAATGCTTGACCCATTCCAATACCTTAAAATAATGAAAGTAAGAGATAAAAAGCAATAATAGGTTAGATAAGCGAAGGACAGATGGGGGGAGAGGGAGATAGGGAAAATGTTAGTTTAGAAAAATGTTTAAGCATATTATTCATGCATCGAATTTTATTAAAAATATAATGAAAAACTATTTTACACTTTGTTGAACAATTTCAAGTTCACTTAACAATCGAACCATTGCTTTAATTCATTATAAAATTATGAATGTCAGTGAACTTAAAAAATGAATAACAATAATAAGAAATCTATTAAGAGGATTATATTATTAAGCTTTTTTTAAGCCTTTTCCTATTATCGCAGTTAACGTTCAAACATTATTTGCACAAAAAAAAAAAAAAAAAATTAAGAAAAGAAACAACAACAAATGTCCGCATATTAATTGATAGGTGTTTAATAATGTCAAGATGCGACCTTAGGCAATTTTATGACGTTTACAATGATTGAAAGCAATTAAATTGTGTATCAATTTATCATAAAAATCATAAAAATAAGGAAAAGCTTACAAAGACGTAGATGAATATGGTGCAATATCTTATGAGTATTGAATCAGAAATATGAAAATACCACAGATTAAATATTAATATAATGAAATAAAAAATTGACAATAGAACAAATATTCAAGTCTTACAGGAAATTGTACGTATATAGATATCGGTGGAACATATGAAAAATACTATCAGAAATATTTTTATAAATATTACAAATATGAAATATACTCGCAAAGGTGGAGAATGTTAGGTCTTGGGAAAAAAATCGTTTATATCTATCACCTCAAGCCGATACTGTAAAGTACCAACATTAGAATGGGTTTTAGTAATCTAAGACGTTTAATCGGAACTTTTTCCCATTATCTTCTTAGATGATTGCCAAAATGTTTTATATAAAGATTCGGTTTAATGCCTTTAGAAGTTACAATGTTTTGACTTTAGGACCGGATCATGCGAGTTTTTAATTTCGAAACATAAAAGTTTATATAAACGCTTTCTTCGACTAAATTTCTCTTAGCAAACATCGGAAGGTAGTAACATTACACAGCCTTTGAGCGGAAGATTGCGATCAACTTTTGTGAAGCGATCAGTTCTAGCACTAGCTAGAAAGTTACATTCAGTTTTGGCCGAATCTGCTATACTCCACATCTTTTTTTTTTGGAAAAAACTTTGAAAAATAAAATTCTTCTATTCTATAACGTTGGCTGGGCGTGACCAGTTTTCCGCACAGAATATAAGTTAAAACCTAACTTTTCGCTGCTGATAGCCAAGTTCTTCTCAGTTTACATTGCACTCTAGGCATGTCCTTTAATCGGTATAGCTCGTTTTTAATCCCATTTGCATTTGTCAGCCCTGTCCCGATTTTTGAAATTGTCTACCAGCACAAATACAAAGATAGACAATCTGACAGACATACTTAGATCAATACAGCATTTAAAACTGATCAAGAATATATGTGAAAAGTGTTAGAATGAAATTTACAGTTCTTACTAACTACGCCTATAAGAGTCGATTTACTTGAAAAGGATTTTAGTCTGACAGTCAAGTCCTCATAAAGGTCCTGAAAGGGCAAGTGATAACATCTAAACTCCCGTTGACGTGCTCTCAAGCATTGAATGAGCTAAGTAAGCACAATGACGTGCACCTAGCTAGCAAGGGGCCCGAGGCAACATCATGGGACATGAACCTTTCTGTGGCCTATCAAGAAGCCATATTAATTGATTGGTATTGCAATGGGCATAGGAAAAATCCGGTTGCCATTGGAAGCAGTGTGCAGGACAACGGCACGGCATAAAATTTTTCAGCGTAACATAAAACTAAAGCCACCTACGCTTGGTCACAGGCTTCTGCACGGACCATAATTCGCTCAAGTGCCACCAGATACCGATTCATGCAGATTCTGCCAACAAACGAGTGAGACGTCCCATCATATTGTATGTGAATGTGAGGCCTTCTGCACATTTAAGCGCCAAGGATTGGGTGGCGACTACTTTATAACGATGAACAAGGTACGGTACCCCGAATCAAAGAAGGTGGCGAGATTCATAAGAGTCCCAAGACAAGAGGACTAGGTCCACAAGCAAGTAGAGTAGATCTTTTAGGTCGCGGTACGGAAAGTTTATACAATTAATAATAATAATAATAATAATTGAAAAGGAAGCTTGGCTTCTATGCCATGTTAACTCGAAGAATATCATTTATTAAGCAAATAGTGACTTTTGTTTACAATTTCTGAAATAGTATAATTCGTGGCTGCATTAAGTTCATACAATAGCTCCATTCAGAAGAGAAAGAAAATGTTGTTAGCATTTTAAATAAAAAAAACTTTAAACAAACCGTAAAGCGTATGCCAAGAATACCTTCTCATAAATAGACTTTTTATTCCTTTTAGGATGACTTTTCAACTATTTTTGAATAAAGTTTAGCGCTGCATACCATTTGTAAGACTTGAACATTGTCCTTTAATGATTTTCTCAATCAATAATTTAATGAAATTCTACTCAAACCAAAAATCAAATAAATCAATCAAAACACATTATATAAAATTATATAAAACCACAAATATTTAAATAATAATTGCCGTAGAGAAGAGTTAATTATCAAAAAAAAAAAAGAACATTTTTCAATTACAACCACTACTGTACTGTGTGATGCGGAAGAACAAAAGACTTACATAAAATACAATTCAGCTGATGCTGTGGGCTTAGTGTTGCTTAAAACACTACTTGTGTAATTGCTAACGTTTACACTAACATTGAACACAGATGTGGTTACATTTTGCGGCTGGACATACAAATAATTAGCTGTATTCTTATCACTTGATGCTACACAAACAGCATTCCATGAGTCTTTACATTGGGACCAAGGCAATGGAGAGTAGAAAGAATCGATGAAATATTTTAATGTCATACCCATTATGGCCACATAATAAGTAGTTACCATAGAAATGCTGACAACTTGACCAATGCCTACGCCTACAAATTGATTATATAGAATGCATGACAGTAATGAAATGCAAACATAACATTTAACATAACAAAACATACAATTTATAATAATAATGAGCTCACTTACCTCGCATAGCTGGACAAAGATCAAAGACTTTTACAGAGCCGCGGCTAGAAAATTGACCAATAATCATTTCCAAATAATAAATAGGTTTACCAACCAAAAACAAAACTACCAGATAGGGTATAAGAAAAGCACCGCCGCCATTGTCTAAAGCGGTGAAAGGGAAACGCCAAACGTTACCTAAACCCACTGACATGGCTATACAGGACATAAGAAATTCAACACCTTTACCCCACGTGTCACGTTCGGGAAGCGTTTTATCTTTGCAGGTGGTAGGCAACTAAAAAAGAACCAAAAGAATTTGTTTTTTTCTTCGTTTTTTTTTTTTTTTTTTTTTTTTGTTAAGTAAGAAGAAAATAAGCGTCATATTTTTAACTTAAGTAAAGCCTTAGCATATATTAATAAATGTTTTTTTTTTTTTTTAAATATTATTTTAATACTTTACCTCATTATCTGTATTACGTGCTGTAGTGGATGCTGCCTGATTATTAATACTACGATTGTAATTACGATAAATTCCATTGGATCTATTATGTCCATGATCATCTATAAAGGCGGGATTTTCATGTGTTGCGGCCATATCGGACGAGGATATCCTGAATAATGACAAAAATCAATAGTAAAAATAATAAATACATTTTTTTGATTTAAAATTCAAATTTATTCGATACAATAGTCTTCTTCTTCTTTCCTTTAGACATAACTGTTAGTAAGTAAAGTATGTTGTGATCAACCTGATGAAATCTTGTTTTAAACTAGTTTTCTACTTTTACTTAAATAATTAATATGCAACAACAACAATTAATAATAAAAATCAAAAACAATAATAATAAAAGCTATAAAAATACCAGACCAGACTAAATAGTTTTTGGTGAACCAACAGTTTCCGTTGCAATTACTACTTTGACTACGTCATATATGAAAAACCAGTTGCAACCGGTTGCAACTTAATAACAGACAAAAGCGGAAAGTAAAAGTGTATATATGAGAGAGAGAGAGAGTGAGAGAGATAGAGATAGAGATACAAACATGTACAAAACAATGCACATCAACAATATTGCGAATTGCTGCGGACATTGTAACAGTTAACCACAAATACAATTACGCATAATGCAACAAACAAACAATAAATAGGTAAACAACACACTAACAACTTGATGGTCAAGGCCAGCAAATAATCATAAGAAAAAGACACATATTGCATGTATGTAATAAGCGTGGTGAGAAATACTATATAAACATGATCGTTATCTGTTAATGAGGAAATTATATTAAATATTCGTTCGTCGTAATCATGGCCTAATAAAAGTTTCTCATTGAAGGCATTTTATCTTTTTTGACATAATAATGACAACAACAACAGTAACTGTTGTGCTGTAGCCTATACGAGAGCATATCACATTTGTTTGCTTTACATTACTTTCCTAAATTGACATTCTCTTCACACGCTGTAAGCGGAATTTTATTTAAATAACTGGTTTCGTATTTACTCATTCTCTAAGCAATAAAATTAATTTATATTATTTTCCCCCGAAGACTAGTAAATAGAAAACCCAAATTGAACGACTAAACCGCGCATTTCGTTCAATTTGAATTTTTTTTGTTTATTTTTTTTTTTTTTTTTTTATAATGATATACATCTTCAAACAATAGTCAGAATATAAAAGTAAAATCGAATGATTGTCAAAGTTTCCTTACTCGCTGCCATTTATAGTCATTAATTCTATTGAAATGTTTCTTGAACTTATATCGTTTGAAAAAACAAAAAAAAAAAAAAAAAATTGAGTTAAGAATCAGTTATCTTTCATTTAACAAAGCCAACGCTTCGATTTTTCTTCTTTCTTATTCGCTGAGATATCTAAACAACTACTTGAATCGCGTGGATGATTAAGCCACTTTGCCAATTACTCTTTTTCAAGCTATGAAATGTCTAACACGACAATTTGAACTTTAAATTATTTTTAAGTTACTCAGCTTAGCCTGGAACTTTTAAATCAATTAAAACTAGTATTGCGTTGGCGTTTGCGTTTTTAAGAAAATACGCTTCTCGGGTTTCCCAAAATATCTTTTTAAGGCGAAAGGTAAAAATTTTGGATTTATTGTAAATGTATATTTATAAGTTAAACTACATCGGGTACATGAATGTATAAAGCGGGTGAAAACATGTACGCGTACCTGATGCGTTTGAACCGTTTCTTGGAAAATCTCGATTATAAGCCATAAGCGTCATTTCACTCATTAGATGCTTGATCGTTTTTTCCTTTTACTTACACGGGTATCTCCCGTTTCTTCATCATTTTTACCTGGCAAGTTCGCTGATTAATATTTTTGCAAACACTTATTATATTAGCCAAAGCTGAACATTACCGCACTCGCCATAGATGCGTGCAATCGTCGATGTCTTTGAAAATTTATCAAACCGTATGTTAAAGGAACTATCGGAAAGAATTATGGTACATACACGTACACACATACACAAAATTCCAAAGTAAGAAAACAGTGTACGCTTTATAGTGTGCCGTAGTATTGTTAAAAGCATTGCAAATACAGTACAACTAAGGAGGCAACTAAGCAATGCCTTCATAGGTTCCGTTTCCTTTTGTTATGTATGTCCATTGCGTATGTTTGTAATTTTTTTATCTGGGAATGTTTTATTTTCAGATCAATGCTATTACCTATCGCAGTCATTTCCATCATGTCTTTCTCAGCTTTGGCCTATTCCCCAATTCGGCTCTTTCTTTAGGTTGCTACGGACTCAGGTTAAGAATGCTCCTATTTTTTTGAATGTACATTAATCCATCCTCTCGCTCTCCCCTCCCGTCACAGGACTCTCAGTTTTAGCTATCAAACCATTATATGCAAATGTTTCTTTCTATCCTATGAAATGGACGAAACGGAAATGGAAGAAACGTTCTAGGCTTTATGTACAGCATGTTATTCCATGCTATCAAATCCTTTAAGCAATTGTGTAAAAATTTCTGTTTCATGCAGTAGCCCGAACAAAGACAATATTTCAATTGACAGGAACCCATACAAATGCGATCAAAAGTCTGTCAGTAGCATATGAGAGCATAGTGTGGAAATGATCGGATAACTCGATTTTTGTGTATCGCTTTAGGTGGTCGATATTCGTATTTCTCCCTGGTTTGTCTTCTTTTTTTCTTCACCTTTCATTCGAGCTACATATGGAAAAAATCCATGATCATACAGTTTTAAGAAATGATTTTTTAATCATTAATCATTTAAAATTGTTTTGTTTTTTTGCTTTTGAGAGATGATCAATGTTCCCAATAAATAAACGGCAGATGATTCGCATTAGTTTGGCTCGCGTATAATATTAAAAAGTTTTTTTATTAAAAAAAAAAAAAAATAAAAACAAAATACTAAAGCATCCCCTCTCCGCGTGTGAAAGTTAATTTGTGTAACAATAAAGTCGAAAATACCCTTCGCTTGTCATTAGAAAAAATTACCGATTTCTCAGCTTAGCTTATATAGCTAACTATTTAATCTTTACATGTAGATAGTATGTGAAGTTCATGTTTATATGCTCTTCACATCGCGTATTTCCCCGTTTTTATGATGTGATTGCGTGTGTGCTTGTTGTTAGCTTATATTGAAAGTTGTTTGTTCTGTTTGTAGGAAATGTAATGCTCACATAAACTATTATTAATTTATTTCCTAGTTTTGTAAAGAAAAGCAAAAGTTTTTTTTTTTTGTTTTATTTAATAAGTCAATAATTAATTATTAGATAAATCAAAAATCATTTTATGACCTCACATGCTTTAGTCATAAATTTCTTTTATAAAGTCAACCTTTTTTCTGATATCAAATAAATGAACGCAAAAAAAAAAAAAAAAAAACGCAAAGCAATAAAACCGAAAGCATATACAGGTTACAAAAGTGCTATAAACAAATATTTAAAGTGACAGATTTTTTTAAGCGTATACCTACACACGCACACAAACACACACACATTTTAGTTATTAAAATCAGATCCAATTATATCTCAGGTAAGTACTATAAAACTCAATCTAGGCAAAGAAATTTGAAAGCAAATTCTCAAACTAAAATGATGTGAAAAATGACAACAACACAAAGGAATCGATTAAAAATTATCAACAATCGGTGACGGCTTATTAATTGAATTTGATGTTTATACGTTACTGTCGGAAGTTGAGGATAAGTATTACCAGTCAAATTGCAAACAGTCAAGAAAACGCTTCAAAGTGATTGCAAATTGATTTACGTAAGATTGATGCGAATCGCAGGATTTTTGTACTTTGGTTAATGGCGTAAGTTTGACAATAAACTTATGTAGCAAGGTGATCACCTACATCTAGTAAAGGATAAGTAGCAAAAGAAAGGGGAGAGAGAGAGAGGGAGATGGGAATTAATTTGTCTGCCTGAAAATTCTGAATCAATCGTCTTCTTAACCGATTTCCACGTCGGCTTTGAGAATTTGCTGAATTTGTTCACTTAAGGCAACTTAAAGCTAGCAGGCTAAGGCTAAGTGCATAATAAATTTTCGAAAATTCGAATTTGATTTCATCAACTTTGTCTACTTCAATAATGCTACGATTAGTCTAACACCTCTTTACTACTTCAATACATTTTTGTCATCTTACGCTTCACTTTGATTCAAGTCTACTTCTCTCGACAATCTTTTTGAAATTTGAAAGCAAGATAATAGTTGCTATCATTGTAGGCAAGAATCCGTCATAGGGTGAATTTGTTGCGCAATGGGTAAAAACGCAGCCAACATTCCCATTCTAAAATTCTTATACAAAGTAAAAAAGAAATTCACCCATCTCTCACCCTTTATTATTAAGAATAACTATTGCGACTTTTTTTAAAAAAGTGTTCGTTACATTCAGCCCCATCATCGGCTCGTTTACAATCAGCATGATGAATCGCTATTGTCAACGGAGCAGCCAATGGTGTAAAAAAAATTAAGATTTTTTTTTTTTGTTGTTAGAGACGACATTTCTACGGTTCACATCCAAGAATGAGACGAGCGATGGTTTAAAGACTTTGCCAAATAAGGCCGCAATGTACGCAAACGATGAAAATTTAAAAAGTTTCTACACTAGTGGATGATTCGTTCTAAAGTAAATCTTCCTTTTTGATAGCCACCACTAATTTGTATTGAGATAGGAGAGGTTTTGAATAAACTATGATTACATTATGTTCCGTACCAAAATCCCAGCAATATATTGTGTAAATACTGGCAAATGGAGCAAATTCAGATCTTATTAACTATGCGACCCGATTTTCGCAATCAACTGCACACGCGAAAGAACTTTGAGAATGTAATTTTTATCTCGGCCAGCAATTAAACGGACATTCAGATAAGGAAAAGTAGACTGCGCCCATTCCATATCTTTTTCTCTCCATCCCCACTTCTTTCTGTCTATTATCGTATCATACGTATAAAAAATGAAAAATGAATGAGGGATTAGCTATGTTAAAAAAAAAACCGTGTTCGAGTGTATACATTTATACATACATTCGGTGGGATGTGTGATACGTGTTGAATGCGTTACAAGCATTTGCCAAAACTCATTTTCACACTTCACCGTGGATATAAAAATATAAT